GAAAAAGGACATGTATACTGTAAGGCAGAACTATATAATTTATATATCATTTACAGCAATGCCACTGAACAAGCTTCTCATGTTTCTATACAGCTTACGCTATACTGATGCTGTTTCCAAAAAAAAGTTAATTTTAAATATAAGATTTTCCTGACACAAAATCATGGAAGTTCTTATGTTTAATGCTAGTCTTCAAGAGATGTATCCACACAAAATTTTCCTTATCATGTATATTAGCTCATAAAATCATAAAAATTTTACTATTTAGGAAGAGAAAAATCTATTGTTTTCATTGTTTTACAATAAAAGTACCTCTAAAAGAACAGTTGTCCAAAAATTTTAAAGAATACAAACTTAAAAAAAATATGTCCTCCTGTGCTATTTAAGTCTGTTTTACTGTTGAATGTAGAATAATTGTGGCTATATGTCTATTATGGCTTAAATTTTTTAAAAAAGAAAATCTTTGGGTGCTGGTAGCTCATACCTAGAATCCTAGCTACTCAGGAGGCTGCGAACTGAGGATTGAGTTTTGAAGCCAGCTTGCCCAGGAAATCCTGTGAGACTCTTATCCCCAATTAACCACCAAAAAAATCTGGAAGTAGAGCTGTAGCTCAAGTGACAGAATGTTAGCCTTGACCAGAAAAGCTCAGAGACAGTGACTGGGCCTTGAGTTGAAGCCCCAGGACCAGCACACACACACACACACACACACACACACACACACACACACACACACTCACACACACAAATCTCATCAATGAATTTTTCTTGTTTACAATATTGGATCTTAGATGCACCTTATCTAGAAGCAGGGCTTATACAGAAACCTCAAACTTCCCCCAATCCAATCAAATGGAGGGGACATTTAAAAAAAAATCTCTCTTGAAGATGAATATCAGAAATAGAAAATGCCTGCACATTTACTTTTGTATAATTTCATTTTGATCATTTCAAGATATGCAAAACTCCTTTGTATTTTGTGGTTAGACATTTGTTTAGGAAATGTGAAACCTTCACCCAATCACAAACCATATACATTGCTCCATTGTGACTTTTACACTGAGTCTCCTACTGAGTCCAAATCCTCCGAAGAGAGGGGGCGATACAGGTCCTGTAAGATGAAGGGCGGGACAGATTCGTTTACTTGGCTTTTGTGGGTGCCCTGTCGCTCTTTTAGGAGCAACTCCAAATGGACATCCTTTGGTTTCTAATATTAACAGACCTTTTAAAGTCACCAACATCAGACTAGAGGAAAAGTAACAAGGGAGAAACCATGTACATTGACAAATGGATGCTGATTTTGTCTTTACGGCAAGAAAAATACTGCCCAACCTATCACAAGCTTTTGCCTTTAACTTGTGTCCAGCTGAGTTATGGTCTCTGACATCTGCCAAGGCCAGCTCTGCTATTCTGTGTCTAGGCAACTCTTCCATGAACATTTTCTTCTCATTCTGGGATGATAGGAATGTGCTTAACCTCACAAAATAATTTATCAGAGTGCCAGCTGGCAAATAGCATATTCTGGTCCCTCAGTAGCAACTCAATTGTTGTGATTTTACATAGGGTAAACCCAAATGACACTGCCTTTTCAAAATTTTATGTTTGTTCAACTGGAAGAATGCATAATTACTTCCTACCCAAGACTCCTTCCCTTTTCTCCAACTCCTTGCCCATTACTTTCCCTCCTGCCTCTTTCTGCTACTAGATCTCTCTGTTGGTAGCCAAGCAACCAGCTCAGATCTGCAGAGTGTCTACATTTGGCTTCTTTTCAATTTTGTTCCACCCACTCCTCCCATCATCTGACTGATCATATAATCTGCAAAAGTCAGTGCTGTGGGAGTATAACTGGGAACTTCATTCAACCTACACAACATAACACATTTCTTCTTTATGTCTTAAGAAATGGGACAAAAAGAGTTCTTGGATGGGAAAAGAACCTTATATGAGCTGTTTTGGGAGACAGTCAGACACTTCTAGACAGCAATTTAAATAACCATGCTTTGGAAAAGCAGGGAGGTTACTTGGTACATTGGTCTGGATATGTTTATAAAGCAAAAGATCTGACATGTAGGCTCTTATTATATAACACTATTTTGAAAGATCAAAAAAGAAGTAACAGGAGTGTGATTTTAAAGGAAGAAAAGTTTTTTTATATATAATTAATAGATATAAAAATAGAAATTATCTTATTTGTGAAGGAACAAATTTATCTCAACAATTCTTTTTTAAAAAAATTTTAAAAAGCCCAGTTTAAGTTTCTGTATTTAAAAATAAGGTGTGTGTGTATGTGTGTGTGTGTGTGTGTGTGTGTGTGTGTGTGTGTGTGTGTGTGTATGGGATTGTCAGCTCATTTTCCAGCTATGTTGCTAGGCAACCCAGAAGGAAAAAATAGAAGTAGCTGCTGTTTTCTAATTTGCAATAAAAAGAGGTAATTTATTCTTTGAAGTGTCTTCTTTTAGCACATGCCATCTTTCACTTATTTCAGTATTTCCTGCAGAGGAATGTAGCCAACCATTTGAAAAGAATATTTACCAAATTTGAAACAGGATTAGTGTTTAGGGATATTCTAGGCCTATTTTAACTAGAAGAGGTGATTTAATGCAGTTATCTATGAAGCCAGACGAAAGCCCCTCTCACTAGAGCAGCTAGGAACTTCTCCATGCACTGACACGATATATAGATGGGGGAAGTGCATAGATTTGAAGGCTTGAAAACAGAAGAATCTTTGAATAGATGAAGCTAAATGCAAAATCTTGGAAATAAAACCATGTTTGAATATATCTAGAATCTAGTTTACAACAAGTGTTTATAATTAAGATCTTCAGGTGATGATACATGCTTTGTCCCTTTAAAATGAGGTTTTCTCTCATAGATGATAATTGTAATGGTAATTTAAATGGCAAAATGAAGGATCTGTCAGATCCTTTGGGAAATGATTATATTTACCAATTGTTAAAAGTCTTAATTATGTAAGTCAATGACTACACAACTGGATAGAGATTTTCTGCCTCAGATGAACAAAATTTTTTCTGAAGCAGATAATACAGAGGGCAAAGATGCAAATTCTACCCTCATTTTACCAACAAAGGACATCTTAGCAAACTTTATACCCAGATGAAGGAGTTTCAATCCAAGGGAGAGATGCAGGAAATCTCAAACACTTTCAATGTCAGTAACTACATTCTTAATCCCAACTACACCTAGCTATATCAATAAATCTGGAATCAGAGTTTAATAGAGCAAAAGACAAAGAAACATTTCTATGCTAGGTGACTTTCCAAAGTATACACTGGTGTAGAAAAACCTGGGTAACATTTACAAAAAAAAAAAAAAAGGTCTCCCTGCACTGCAGGATAGATCCTTAAAAGAGTAAATGAATTGGACCAATTCATTTTATCAGTGGATCATTATGGTTCCTTGAAACCAAAAAGAACACCTCAGTAAAAACACTCACAAGGAACTGGAATATAGTTATTGTGTTTCTATGTTATTTTGTTTTCCAAATAGGACCCAGAATGGATAATAGAGTTCTCTGATATAACCCAGTGAAGAAGCTAATGCCAAACTCCAGGCTTCACAATCTAAACAATCTCTCCCTACTTCCAGGAGAACCAATGGTGAAAGATAATTGGTACAGAAGACTCCAGGATGGAGGGCTAAATGAGTCTTCCTTGTGCCCCACCTTGAGATGACTAATGGTTCTGGCAGCCTGGGCAGGAGAACTGAAGGGAAGGACTTCCATCTTGGATGAAGATGAAGCTTAAGGTTATGGAACTTGGAAGTGGTATTTTAGAACATGTAACACAAGATACTCAATTGAAGAATCCAGCATTTTAGTACAAGAGCTTCCAATATTGCTTGTTAAAATATTCAGTGAATATCATCACCACATCTCCTCAGGGCGCATATTCTTCCTACCTCACTTCTGAAATCCAGACTATGATGTGCTTTTGATTTCTTCCAAACACTATCCCTTGCTCTCCAACCCTCTTATTCTTGCCTTAGTAATTGTGACAGGACAAATGGTGCTAGTTGTAAAGCAACAAAACCAGTAGCCCCTCCATATTGAATAAAAAACTACCCCGCCCCACCACACCCATGTCCTCAGCACAGAAAATCTAACCCTGTTTCCAGCAAGTTTTCCACTTTGTCTCTAAGCTCAGCCAATTTCTCTGTAATTACATAAGATGCTTAAAATAAATGTAAGAAATGATTAAAGGGAGGGTGCTCAATGTGGATTTCATTCACAAAACCACATATCCAGCTGGGTGCCAGTGGCTCATGCCTGTAATCCTAGCTATTCAGGAGGCTGAGATCTGAGGATCATGGTTCAAAGCCAGCCCGGGCAGAAAAGTCCATGAGACTCTTATCTCCAATAAACCACTAGAAAACTGGAAGTGGCGTTGTGGCTCAAGAGGTAGAGTGCTAGCCTTGAGCTGAAAAGCACAGGGACAGTGCCTAGGCCTAGAGTTCAAGTCCCATGACCGACAAAAGAAAAAACAACAACAACAACAAAAAAAAACCCCACATATTCTACTAACCCCATACCCTGCTCCATGGGTTCTCGGTACCACCCTTCTATGCCATGGAACAAACCCTCTACCCGGTCTTTCCACTGAATTAACAGCACTATTCTTTAAGAGTCTGGTGATCAGTGATGTCACCTACTAAAACTCATTACAACTAAGGAAGCTTACAAACCAGTGGTAATAAAGCCTGTGCATCCAAAACAACAAAAGAGGAAGTTGGTGTTTTGTTTTTTTTTAAAAGGGAACCAGCCAATATATACTGCTTCTCAGAGTTAAGAGTTGGACAAGTTGATAAGAATGGAAAGCTTGGAGTTCTAGTTAACTCAGAGCAGTGAGAAGTGACCGACTTCGGGTCATCCACCTGCACTGGCTTGATTTATTCTCTGGAGACAAGGAACACTATTTGCTGCAATACCTGTGTCAAGGTTCAGATAGACCGTATGCACACAGGTAGCTTGCTTGCTTGCTTACCCTCTGCTTCCGCAGGCTTCCTGGGCTGGTGGGTGAAGGGCTTGGCGACTTGCCAGAGCGTGGAGTGGAGAGCTGACTGCCAGGGGTTCCATTAACTGGAAACACAAAGAAGCACAAAGAAGATTAAAGCATTTTAATGACAATTCATCTTGTCAGAGAAATAACCAGAGAGACCTCTCTTTAATGTTCCCCCCTGAAGAAAAACTTAAAAAGTAAGTAAGCATCTTTAGACAGGTACTGCTTTGTTAATTCTGTGTTTAATACAGGTTATATAATGTTTTTTAATGTACTTTTTCCACAATTTCCCTGATGGATTTATTAATGAGGGCTTTATACCAACAGACAATAGGACTATGGTTAAGGTCTTGAAGCCCTTACAATGAGAGAAACCTTAATTCTTCAAGTGCCCAGTCTTAACCCAGTAAGACAAAGTATTAGCTCAGATCACAACTGGCATTCTTAGTGACTTGATAAAACAGATCATTGTGCTTTTAGATTTGATAACTCCCTTCTAGAAGTTCCTACATCACTTGTGACCCATCTATCTCCAGGCTGATTCTGAGGGACAGGATAAAAAGTAATTGGCCACAGGCAGTGAAAGGAAAAACTCACAGTTTGACTTTGCTGCCGGTGAACATAAAAATCTGCTAACAGGTTCAAAAGACTGGAATTCTGCCCGATTTTTCAACTTTTATACACCATTATCACTAAGCCAAGATAAAGCCACAGCATTCAAGGTAGCTATTCTCTAGGTAACACCATTCAAGACATGACTTTTATAAAAAGATTTAAAAAGTAAACCTTAACAACAGGACTTTCTAAAGATAGGAAGGCAGCCTCTATTTCACTGCTAAAGACAGTATTTCAGTTCCACAGTGAGTGAAGTCGAATTAAACAGGAGACACACACATTCGGGATGGGGGGGCACATGATAAACACTTGCCACGAGGGTGGGGTGAGCCACGGGGAAGCCACTTACCTTCTATGAGTTCTAACATGGACACAGTATTTGACCTGACAATAGCAAGAGGCAAAAATCTCTTCTCAGCACTAAGCCAAGCACCCGCGGAAATAAAAGGGAGGCCGTTGGATTATGAGTTAGGGATGGCTCAGGCTGCTCCCCCAGCACACTGAATGAGATGCAGGATTCATCAGCAGATGCCTTTCCTGCGTAAAGGCTGACGTCCTCGCAGCAGCAGTGGGAGGTGCCGGTTCTGTCTTAGGCTATATCAAAGGTGTCAATTAAACCTCATGCCAACCCGGAGTCACAGCAACCCCCACCGACACACATTCACTCCGGAAGTCCCAGCCTGCTCACTCCTTTGCACTGAATCATAATGAAGTAGCGCTGGGAGCAAGAGTCTGGGGTGACTCATCTGAGAATCAAAATGACAATAACTTCTAAAGCCTGGCAAGTACCAGGTAATCAGGACAACTCCACAGCACTCAGTGGCAAGGTGTAATGTGTATTGAGTTTGTGTCCACCCCCTCCCCACATGGCCATGTATTCATAAAAACGTAATGGCCCATGGAAGTGGGTGGGTGTGGAGGGGGCTCTTTGTTTTGTTTGACCTGCTCCTCTAAAGATCTTAAAATTGTCATATACCCCATGCTGCATTAATGTGCAGTTTTGCCTTTGAAATGTACTTGAGAAAAAGAAAACACACTCTGGAGTTTTGTTGGTTTATTTTTTGCAGGGTATGTGGGGCAATTGAGAATGTTTTAATTTACTTCAAGGCTAACATATTTTGGGTGGGTACTAGACCTCCCAGGCTCTAAGGGAAGGGCTCAGAAATAGGAGAGGAATTCAGGACTGGGGAGAGGCAGAACCTACAACAGGTAAGGGAAAAGATGCTGATTCTGTAGTTGGCTAGAGAACACTTTGATTAGACTTTATGTCTCCTTGTTGTTCATAGACAGAAAAAGTGAGTGCAGAGGAAAGCAAATTCAGTAGTTTTTTACTTGGGAGATTCTAACTTTTTTAGAGGGTTGGGGGGTACAGAGGATTGAATCTAGTTCCTTATATATGTTAATCAATGACTGTTTAAAGCAGGATATAGGTAGCTCATGCATGTAATTCTGCTATGTGAAAGGCTGAGATTTGAGGATTATAGTTTGAAGCCAGCCTGGGTAGACAAATCTGAGAGACTCTCTTATCTCCACTTAACTAGCAAAAAGCCAGAAGTGGAGGTGTGGCTCAAGTGGTAGAGAGCCAGTCTTGAGAGGAAAGCTAAGCAAGAGTATAAGGCCTTAAGTTAAGCCCCTGTACACACATACACACACACACACACAGAGCTAGTCTACTAAGCTACTTTTCAGACCCAGAACTCCAGTTTTATCAAGATAACCCAAAATGAAGAAAATGCAAGACATTTTTTAAATTTTATCTCATTTATCTGTCTTTGTGGGGGACATCAGGAAGGCTAAAAATGGAGGGACAGGGTGAACAAATGCAGCACTCAGTAGGTGCTATGTTGAAAATGAACTATACAACTAGTGGGCACAGGAGGGAAAAACTGGGAGAGAGTAAAGGAAGGGGTGACATGGTCCAAAAGAAATCCATTCATCTCCTGACTTAGGAAACAGTAATCCCTCTGTACATCACCTTTATAATAACAATACAACTTTAAAAAGTAACACAAAACAACAGAAATTTGTACTTAGTATCCATTATATGTATATAAATATCTCAGCTTATTATAGACTTCCTTCCTTCCTATGCATCAGTCAAGCAGTTAAACCTTGAATATCTCATCCATGTCTCATAATAACTCTGTGAGGTAGGCAGCATTATTTTCTCCCATTTTACAGATGAGAAAATTGAGTCATGAAGGTGATGAACAATTTCACAAACAGCAGTCAGGATGTGACCCAGGCAGTTCTACAAACTATACTTTGCTGCCACCTTTCCTTGGAGCACCAGGGAAATCAGAAAACTAATCATTACAAGAAACTATTTTGACAGTTGGGTGCTGGTAGTTTACATCTGTCATCCTAAGTGTTCAGCTGGCTGAGATTTGAGGATTACAGTTTGAAGCCAGCCTGCGTAGACAAATCTAAGAGACTCTCTTGTCTCCAATTAACTAGCAAAGAGCCTGAAGTAGAAGGTACGGCTCAAGTGGTAGAGAATCAGCCTTGAAGAGAAAGCTAAGCAAGAGTATAAACCCTTAAGCTCAAGCCTACTTTCAGTACACACACACACACACACACACACACACACACACACACACACACACACACACACACACACACACACACACACACACACACACACACACACACAGTATTTTGAGAGGGGAACTTTAGAAACCCTAATATTCAATGAGGTACTACACTACCGTAGGCAGTATGTGAGGAAGTTAGCTGTGTTAAACTGTGAAGTTAGCCATGTGAAGGAAATGTGTCCAATGAACAAGGAAATCCCTATTTCTGGGCTGGGCATGGGAGAGGGAAACCTACTACATAAGTTAATAGCACAGTAGACATGTGTGTTTAAAGGGAGAGAACATTATGATTGAGGATAAAGGAATAGAGGCAGGAGTTGCAGAATGTTCAGAACATTAAAATTCAGGTTAAGGAGTTTGGTTTTCATTCAGCATGCAAGAACTTATGGGTTTTAAGTAGGAGCCACGGGATCAGATTTGCAATTTCAAAAGCTCTCAAGCGTTCTTGCCCTGTCAAGGATGGATTATAGGGAAACAATATCAGCACCACAGGCTTGTCTCTTACAAAAACGTCAAAGTCGTAGACAGTGTGACATGTTGAAGGATGGAGAGTTCAAGGAAGGACTATAGAGGTAAGGTATGCCGAAATGTTCTAGAAGGATTGGCAAGCAAAAAATCGATTGAACTTATAGGTCATGGCACTTGATGGTTGACGGTTAAAGGGAGTGAGTTAGGAGGGACAAGAGAGAGTTTTGGACATGTGAATGTCTAAAAGGTGACTTCACTTCTGCCTTGCAGGCTGGTATAGCTTTTTTTGTTTCAGAGGAGAGTGACATTTGGAGAAAGGACTTACTCAAAGACACGTAGCTGGAAGGTGATAGGGTTACAACTGGGTTGCAGCCGCATCTTAGTTAGGTAGGAGGCACACAGTGGAGTTGCATGCCCTGGCACCTCAGGATCCGTAGGAATTTCCATCCCATCTGTATAGTTGGGGCTCTTGGATTTTTCTCTACCATGGGTACCTTTGGAACTATCTCCACTGTGTTAAGCACCTTACACGCTTCCATTTGCTTTACCATCTCCCTAGAAAAAGGCTCGGTGCCACGTAACTCATTCACAATCAAAGGTTTTTGGACCCAATCTGCCTGCTGGTTGAGATTAACCTAGCAGTGTTGGGAATCTAGTCAGACTCCTCCTATTGGCCACTCCTGAATGTATTAGCAACACCTAGGAATGGTTCTTGACAGCCAGGAAATCTTACTGTTGAATTGTTGTTGGGATAAATAATTTTCCTTCATAAGTCACTTCGTTGAATTGTTATTGTATAATTCAGAAATCCCTGTGTGCCAATTAGAGAAGTGTTGTTACTTATTTATTGCTGCTTATTGAAATCCAACTTACAAATGGTATTATTTTCCAGAAGCTGTTATTAAACAATTCTTTATCTAGAATGGGAAGAAGTCAACCTAAATCAGATTCTTGTTATATAGCCAAGAAATTCAAACAATTAATTATTTGAACCTAAAATTCACTCAACTCTGGATTAATAAAGAAACTCACTAGAACCACTGCCTCCTATCCAGTTCTGATTCCTTTGTTGAGATCTTGTCTGTGCCCATTTTTCTTCAATCCTATGTTCTTTTGTTTTGCTTTGAATGACAAATGCTAACCTTAGGGCTGATAACTCAGAGATACCACGATGTTATCTGTCTATACATCTGGCTACCAAAGGGCTATGGATGGAATTTGACTTTAGATCTATATGGACCCTTTTCAACTTTGCCCTCACTTGAGCCCACCAGGGTTTCACTATAGTTTTCCTTTCTATAGTTTAATTACTTGACATCAGGTGCTGTTTGGAAATATTGAATACACAGAACACTCCATAAATAGATTGTCTAAGATTGAAAAAAGTTATTGTAGCATAGTTT